TATTTGTGCTCTATCCAAATTCCCTTGAAACTCTCTGTGACTAACTATGAATGGCCTAAAGTCTGGAGTCCATCATGTATATTCTGGCACTTTCGAGTTTGGACTGGTTTGTTAAAAGGCAATGAATTAAGGATATCCACAAGCTTGACCTTACTAGAATATACATGATGGAGATTTATTAGCCTTAGCTGGAGTGCTGACTTGCACAGAAGCCATGCCAATCAGTGACAGACCAGTGGCTGACATGCAGATGTCTTCTATTTTAGTTAATATTTTGTAAATGAACATGTCTGATAAGATTACCATAAGAAATGTGAATCAATCTGAACTGGGAAAGAAGTCTACACCATATGACTTATGACTGAAAAGAAGATTAAATTTCTACTGATGAACAATATTTTTGACAATACAGTAATCCCTTGCAGATTTATGTTTATACATTTTCTAAAAAGAAAGAAAGAAAAAAAATCACCATTCAAGAGGAATGACATTATGTCACTGAGGAAACACAAAATGGTATAAAAATATGCCACCTACTATATCACAAGTGTCAAAAGTTCCAAAAAAAAAACAGGAAGCACTTACTAGCTAATAACATTGTCTATACCTAACTAAATCAACATATTAAGAAGATACTTAACATATTTGCAAACTCTGTCAAGGTTTAGTTCATTCAATGCATTCTGTTTAATTAATTTGTGTTGTTAATTCTTTGCATTCTTTCCTTGTCTCTTCATAATACCTTAGTTAATTTATCTCATTATCTACACTACACATTTCGTCTTCCCCCTTTATTCGACATTATTTAATTAATGTTTGAAAATTTGATAAAGAATTCAAGTAATAATAAAAGTAATGAATCCTCCGGTACATAATTTCTTTGCTGTCCCTTTCAAGTTTTTGTTTTATTTTTTTTAATCGGAAATACCATAAGATTTCATGATGACGCTCTCTGAAACCAATTAAAACTTTTCCGATTTGAAAAGGAATCCACGAAAAATAGAGCCGAATATTATTTTTTTTTTCTCGTGCAGCCTGTTTGGAAAGCCCGAGGGTAGTCCTATACAACCGCCCTCTCCACCTCATGTCAGCATCAATAACCTGTTTTAATGTCATTGTCAGTCCATCAAAATGCCCTGTCAGTCACGTATGACGCGTGTGACACTTGACGTACCTCGGGGCAGTGACTGAAATGACTGAAGTGACTGATGAAGGGTTGTCAGCCTCGTACTACAACGTAAACATTGGAAGCTTCTCCCTTCCTGTTTGTGACATGGCAAGACTAGTCGAGTGTTATTACTGGAGGTTTGAAATATATATGTTAAATATCCGTGGATTTTATTATTATTTCATTTTGAAGGTTTGAAACACCTGATTTGAGTGGTTTATGTGCAGGTACAGGTAACTACACTTTAGTACGCATGGGCAAGTCATTAGTCTTTCACAAAAGGACTACTTTTCTTGTTTGGTTCCATTACTTTTGCCATATAACTAGTAAGCATTATACGCGCGGGAATTTCGAAATATTAACTTTTCCCCCGATATAAGGACCTCCTAATAAATCCACATTAGGAAAGCTAATATATCAAGGAATATTTAGTATTCATGTACTCATATTTTTCTATAAACTACAACTAAAACAAATTATCAATATTCAGGATTCAGCACGCGTACACACACACACACACACACACACACACACACACACACACACACACACACACACACACACACACACACACACACACACACACACACACACATTCACACACACACATTCACACACATACGTACACACACACACATTCACACACATACGCACACGTACACATACGCACGTACGCAACAAATTATCAAATTATCAAGATACATAAATTATAAAATTATAAATTATAGATTCCGCACACACACACACTCACACACACACACACACACACACACACACACACACACACACACACACTCACATTCACACACACATACACACACACAAACGCCTACAAAACGTACGCACAAACACCGCGCGTGCAAATTGATACATTTAATTTGCCGCCCAGAGTGCCGGGTTTAGAGGCCAGTCTCCCCTCCATCAATGACACAAACCGAAGTAAAAGTATTACCGTTGCTACTTCCACCCTTACAGAAATTAATCCGATATTGAAAGGCATATGTTCAATGCTCCTTTACAAAATTGGAGGATTGCATTCATTTTTTGTTAATTAACGTCCTCTTTGGCTGAGAATCAAGAGTTGACAAAGAGCACTGTAATCCGTATCAGTGCTTTGTGAAGGCCATGCTCCCGTAAGCTTCTTCGACCATCTCAAGAGAAATTCGGACTGACATACAGAAAAAAATAAATCAGGGGCTATCGATACAGTAGAGAATAAATCAAGGATAAACATGGCAATATACGTATGTTACACAGCGCAGGGCAATATGAAAGGGTGAGAGCGCGATAGTTTTTAGTACACATTATCATTAACACAATAATAATATTGTAGTTGTAAGGGATGCGTGTACATATTGGCATAAGTTAATACCGCACCATATTTGGTAAATATTCAAGGCATGAGGACATGAATGGTTACTAGTTCAAATAAATAAATGTGCTAAACGTCAAGGTCATGTAGCACTTGGAGGACATGAACGGGAAGTGGCAGGGACAAATATGAATAACATATAACAAATACGTGACTATCATAATAATATACAAAGAACGAGTCACAACACTCTCGTCTAATGCAGGGGGTTATGTCCCCTGCCATCCCCCCTTTGAGAACTGCCGACCCCCACTTCCGCCCTGGAAGACAAAGAATCCTCCACGCATTCACAACAGGACAGAGCGCACTGGTCTGTCTTGAAGCGTTAATATACAATATACAACCTAGGATTGGTGATTTACTAACCTGAGATATGGACGACGATGATCTGGAATACCCCTCATTTTAGTCAGTATATGATGCTGATTATATAACAGGTTAGTATGCGGCTACTCAGGGTACTTCCTTATACCCATGTGATTCGCTATTGTTCCATCCTGCCCTACACACGTATTCTTTGTAGTTTGGGGGGTTGGCGGCAGCAGATCCTTGCAATAGATTTATATGTGTATGATATATACTCATAGTACAATCACAATGCCTGGGAGCACCCAATGCCGAGTCTGCCCTACGGGATATCCTGCCGTCCATACGTGCTACGTTCTTTGTCTCCTGCATATGACTATATACTAACGTTTTTTGTGTGTATTATTGGTATTTTACCCCGCAGTTTCCCTGGTACCTTCTGAATAATGACACAGCACCTCTTTTATTTTATCTTTTATGTATCGTAATCAATGGTGAATGGTGAATTTGACCCTTCACGTAATCACTGTCATCGTCATCACTGTCATCATCTTCATCCTCATCGTTATTTGCAGTCATCGCTTGATGTGCTTTCCAAAGCTTTTTTTCTCTTTTTTTCATCCATCGTTAGGATATATTATTTTCGTAGACGAGTAAAAAATAGAATGCAGAATATTAATGACTACGTACATACCTTTTCTTTGAAAAAGGGCAGTGATTCTGAACAGCTTAGGTGTTTAGAGTAGATATATTTTTAAAACACTTGACCCTAAACTCCATTGCATTATGAATGAGTTTTCAAATAACACGTTCCCTGAGTTTGTGTATATTAGACGAAGATACTGTTTGTATGAATACATGTAAGTTGCCTTGACCTCCGCATATTTCCTCTGAAAGCATGTTTATTTTTTCCGATTACTTTTAAGTTAGGAACAATACAGCAACCGCGCCACTGTCCCGCGTGGCTTTTAACTTTTAGTAACCACGCTACTTAATCTTCGGTTGTTTGTGTTTTTTTTTCTGATTTGTTGTGAATGTTAATAAAACTGTACTTATCTTTTCCCGGTTAGAGAGAAGGACTTAAAAAATAACTAATCCTTTTGGGATATATTTCCTAAATAGGTGTTGAATAAACACATTTTGATCGTAAATATTTTTTTTTGTGCATTAAATGAACAAAAAACAAACAAACTAAGTGGCACATTCTCAAATAAATTTCCCGCTCATTCTGATGTATGTGAAATAGAGAAGAAAATTATAGCATAGCAAACACCATGTGACTGTTTCATCTTTTCAACCAGAATTCAATTTCACCTCACAAAAAAAACGCCACCACGCTTAACTATCTAGAAAAAAATAGTTGTCGATACTCTTTCTTAACAAATAAGAGATGTACTAAATCCATGTTACATCTTCGGGTCCCACATGTCTCCCAGGCGGTTCATACTGTGCTCATACTATTTTGGTCGCCGCGCGGGAAGTTGTGTGCATTTCGGACTCCGGGGGTGAAAGACCTCTCCTGCACAGAACTCACTGTTTTTCTTCTTGTTTCCTTTCATAATTTCCTTTTTTTTTGGGGGGGGGGGGCGCGTCTGTTCTGTCGCTGAATAAGCAATATGACTTCGATACGTGTTGCAAAAAAATGTTCTAATCATGTTATATACACCATTGGTAATGCTTTCTTTTCAACGATGCTTGAGCTCATTTACGATTTGCAAATTTAGATATACGGTTTTTCAAATTTAGATACACCATTTCCAAATTCAAATATGCGATTTCCAAATGCAAATATACGATTTTCAAATTCAAGTTCAATTGTTTATTGGCATTAAATAGCAGGAGGATAAAATACGAATTCCTGAAGAGAGACAAAGTATTCTTCAGGCATCTATATTATCAGACAAGAAATATTTTTACTACAAAATATTTGGCAGGAAGAACAGAGTTAAATAATCCAAGACATGGCCAACGAAACAATACTAAGCAAGAAAGCATCCTTTTGTCTGTAAAATCATTCCTCGATCTGTATATCACCTAATAATGGGGGAAGGCATGGCTATGATGCAATAATGACCGCTGATGTGGGAAAGGATATACTCTTTCGTTGTAGATACCTCTGATGAATTAATGAATACAAACATAAGAAACGTATGTTTAAATCAAGATATTTCTGTGAAAAGATGAATAAAAACTGATAGGTGGTATTGTGGATATATGTGGTTTACTGAGAGTAAAATGTTGTGGCACAGAATCCAAATTTCGAAATATGTGATGCCATTTAATCCACAGACCGTATATAATTTGATGTTAACGCCTAAAAAAGTCTCTCTCCACAAACACCATCGAACCTACGCCTGTGCCACGAACTATCGATATCAGGCTCTTAGAAATCTTACTGCGATGGGCAAGGTGAGTCCCAAGAAGCACCTGTTCGGCCTCGAGGACCACAATAAAAGGTCTGGTGGGAGCTGACATGAGCTTCTCCGTCTACTCGAGTCGGCCGATAGTCATTCTGTTGGGAGGGATCTCGGAGCTCTTTGGGAGATGTCCCTTTCATTTTGGCAATTTTCTAGACCCATAGCCGTAAGGGACCTAGGCCTTCTGTGTGACAACATGGGACGGGAAAGCTACCAGCTATAGCAGAGAGAAAGGTGACTTGCTAGTGAGAAGGAAGTCCCTACCCACTCACTTCCCTACAGAAAGTCGAGTATAGATACTTCAGTGTTAGAATTACAAAATGTGTGTCTTTTGAGCTTTTACTGTAATGAATATCCTATAATGTTTTTCAATGTCACATGCAAATGGTAGCATCATACATATTTTGTTCTAGGTAAATCATACAACTAGTATTACAACAGTATAACGAAACTTTTATGGCAAAGATCAAAGATATCGTAACAAAGTGTGCATTTTAAGTTTATCATAAATCTTTGAAGTGCACAATTTACCTTGTTTACCTAATCTGTTTTTTGGGGTGGGACCATTATTTGGACAGAAAAAGTAGACATAAGTAAGATTAATCTAATCAAACTGCACAATGAATTAGCTCCAACAAAAAGTAATAATTGAAGTATGTTTCAGATGGATTATTGAGGCCTGAACTCATAAATGAAGACTGCCAATACAGTTTAGTAATGAGAAATATGAATGAAATGGTTGTGTGTGTGTGTATACCAACCTCACTCATACTCCAGAATACGAATACAATAATGCAGTTGAGTAAATTCTTATTTCCTTTCAATATGAGCTTTGTGTGAACAATGCCAGGGTGTAGACAATTTGTGGTAACACCTAAGGAACAAAAACAAACAATGACTTTAATCATGGAAACATAATATTACAAAATAAAGATACATACTAACATTAATTCCAAAAAATATAACATAAATCTAAATCAATCCAATAACAAGAATTTACATGCCTGTGTCTTTCATTTTTTGAGACAGGTCCAGAGTGAAGAGATTGTTGGCAAGTTTGGACTGGCTATAGACAAAGAGTGAACCAAGATATGGCTTCTTCTCGAAGTTGATGTCGAAGTTTAATTCCTTGCAAAAGTAGTGAGCAGCCGAGCTCACATTAATTACGCGACTGGGACTACTAGATCTGAGCAGCCCTGGAAACATGAAGGAAATTTTAATATAATGTTTGACTGTTTCTAGGGCATTACTGTGCTGTGTGTGTATTTTTACCTATTTGTTCTTATTATCTTTTTGAAGTAAGGGAGATAGAATAGAACCCATTTGCTATGTTTAGATTATCAATGAATATTTTATCAGATTTCAGTAAATGTATAGAAATGTTACAATACTTCTTATAATTGCATGATTATTGATCAAAATTCAAAAGTAACACTCACGCAATAACATATTGGTTAACAAGAAATGACCAAAATGGTTGGTTGCCAACGTTAACTCCAAAACATCCTTTGTGATTTTTTTTGTGGTTAGACCAGACATTCCTGCATTGTTTACTGTTTACCTGAAAACATTTCATATTTGCTAATAATTGGCATATGCAGAATCAAATGTTTTAGCGTTCATTTCTATTAAAACAAATATCTTTCTTCAAAACGTCGAGCGAAGGGAAATAGGAGGGGAGGGCTAGTGTTGTTACCTAACTGGTGTTTTCTTGACGCAATACATACATATCTCACAGCGTGCTTAAAAAAATCGTCGCAGATTATTTTTGTATCCTAGAAGGCCTGTGCGTTTGTCTGCACATTGCAAGGCACATTCCATCGTTTTCGGGAATAAGATCATGTCACAGTGAATCCATAGGAATTCCGGAACAACTATTCGATACATAATGAATCAGAAGGAGACCAATTTGAACCCCAAACTACTAACCCTTCCGTGATATATGGTTCTGCTCGTTATTGAATGTTTCGACACCCCTCTTAACGATAGTTTTCTGTGTAACTGTACATGTGTGTACAGTTACACACACACACTCACACACACACGCACACGCACACGCACACGCACACACACACACACACACACACACACACACACACACACACACACACACACACACACACACACACACACACATACACACACACACACACACACACACACACATATATATATATATATATATATATATATATATATATATATATATATATATATATAACCGCATGTTTATTTGT